ACTATTCCAAAATATCACCACTGCGGATTTAATCAAACAAAAAGCATGCTCAAAATAAACGAAAAGCACTACTAGAATGGCACAAGGAAACTTTATGAAGTAGCAATTTCCTGAAATACCTAAGCGTCCGCCTCGCCCACCGACGTAAGGAAGGAAGTTATTTATGACGTTTGTATGTAGTAGTATGATATTATACATTTACAGACGCGTTTACTAGGGAATAGTTGTACTGCGTAGATCGGAACAAAAATTAATAATTTTAATCTGGAGATTGAGATGTGCTGTAATGTACTCGAAACGTCGGGAATATAAGTTAATATACGAGATAAAATCCGTAAAACTAGTTTTATTTAAAAAATAGTTGTCCCGTAACGAAAGCGACGTAACATATTTCACAATCGAAGCTCAGCTAAGGGCAATGTAAGAGTAGTGTACTCTTAATGTGAATGCTTTCAGAGCTATCGGAACAGAAAAACTCACGTATGTACTTATATTTTTAAAGATCGATGACTACTAACGCTTTTGATGCTGTCGAAGAAAGTAAAAGAAATTGGAACAGATTTCTTCCTTTTTTCTTTTTGATTTCTTCCTTTTTTCTTTACATGAAATTAAAGGTACGTACACGTATTTCAAGTACGTAGTCTAGATTTGATACCTATATTTCATGTACTCGTATTTATTTACTTTTATTTTATTTTGTAAACAAAGGTGCAACATTTGTCATTACAATATAACGATTACACACAAGGAAAGGAAAGGGAAAGGAATATGAAATATTTTGATAACCAATAATAAAGTTGATGAGAAAAATACTTAAATAGGATTGAATAATATTAAATTACATATTAAAGCCAAAAATAGAATTTAGTGTTTAATTTTGTATTATTTCATGAAAGTAATAAAATGTTAATGAAGTAGTGAAATTTATTGCCAAGCTTAAAGTACAATAAAACCTATATCAAAAATAACACAGACCAGCATCGTGGCGCACCGGCCAATTTGCAAAGTCTTGCATGTTCTGGTTCGATATACATTCCGATTGCCACTCACAACGAATACGGAAATATCATTTTGTGTACTCAACAGCTTACGATTTTATGAAAACGACTCAAACGTATAAGTAGCCTCATTTAACCAGTTACTTTCAATATGGACACTGTGTATAGTATATGTATAGTAAATTCCAATAAAAGAGAAATTCCAAACTTGTTTTTAAACGGCCAATTAAAGCCAATAATAAGCAATATTTGTCACACTTTAGTTCCGAACTTAAGAATTCGTTTAAAACGTAATATGTTGTTATGTTATTTACGTCACAATTTATTTAACTGGTTACATTCCGATTAATGCCACAAAACGCAGTACCGAGCAACCTGGGTCCATAGTCTTACCAGATCGTCACTCCATCTAGTAGGGCTATGTCGCTTACTCTAGTTCTACTGCGGATATCCATATTTCGAATTCTTTTACTCAACGAATGCTGCCCAGTAGAGTTGAATCCGTCGATTAATTTTGAGTCGATGTTGGACTTACCTAGTAGGACCATTAATTTGTTCTAGTTATATATTCGTTAACAACTTCGAGTGTAGTGTTTCCAACAACTGTTGGCTCTTGTTTGACGTGGACGGTAGCGTGACCTGTCTTTCTGACATGTTCATTTTAAGACCTATCAGTTAGGACACGGGAGACATTATTGAGGTAATTGAGCATAGTGCTAAGATTTAGCGATTCTGCTATAAGGACTATATCGTCGGCAAATCGAGGAGGGCTCAGCCGTCTGGTACGTACTACTACTACACATACCTACCATATTTATGTCCATCCGTAATTTAGGGGTATAATTGCGCGGGAAATGTAGATTATATTATAACACCAGCATAAAACAATTATTGTGGACATTAACTGAGCAAAACTTACGACGTAATATTAGGTCGAGGAAATTTCATATTTTATATTCCAATTCAAGAGATTTTATTTTTCAAAGTTAAATTAAATTAATTACATATAAATATGCCATTTTATTCAATAACTTCTTGCCATCTTGTAGGTAGGTAGTGACATAATCCTGTTGCTGTAGAAATCGTGGGGTTTTTAATCATAAATTGCGACAAGTAGTTTTGACAGTCCTCTTGATTCTCTTGTTAAATTAACTAATACTACCCAAAGAATTCTGAAGAGACCGAAACAGGTGAAAATCTGAGGGTCCAAGGTGAGAACTATATGATGGATGCATTAACGTTTCCCAACCAAGTTTTCTCAATTTTTGCTGAGTGGCCAAAGATGAGCGTGATCTGGCGTTATAATGATGAAAGACTACTCGTTTTCTGTTGATCAATTCCGTCATTTTTTTCTCAATTTCTTGCTCGAGTCACATTAGTTGTTGCAAGTAGCGATCCGAGTCGATGTTTTTGCCGGGCGGTAAAAGCTCATAATAAACGATTCCCTTCCAATACCACAGTACACACAGCATCACCTTATTGCGTGTTAATCCGGGTTTCGCTACAGTCTGTGGAGCTTGACTACCCTTCGACCAAGATTTTTTTCGCACCTTCTTGTCGCAGTTCATCCATGTCACTTTTCATCACCAGTGACCAATCTTTTCAAAAATGGTTCGGTTTCATTACGTTTCAATAGAGAAACGCAAATGAGTACACGATTCATTAGGTTTCTATCAGTGAGCCCGTGTGGTACCCAAATATCGAGCTTTTTTGTATAGCCAGACTTTTTCAAATGGTTCAAAACAGTTTTGTGTTCAGTCCTCAATTCCTCGACTATGTCGTAACTACTTATATGCCGAACTTGCTTCACTTTTTCAAAAATGGCATCCAGTATGAGAGCGACCAGAGCGAGCTGCATCTTTGACATCAAAATTCCCGGACTGAAAACACTTGAACCAACTTTGTACTACTCTTACTGACACTATGTTAGGTCCATAAACGTCACAATTTTTATCGTGGCTTAATTCGTGTTGTTCTCTTTTTTGTAAAAAAAAACTTCAGAATGTATCGAATTTCTTCGTTAGATTCACTCATTTTGGAATTTTTAATTTTTACAGAAAAACAATTGAAAAATGGCGGGAGAGTTTTTTACTTTTTATTTTTCTTTTTCTTCGTCTCCTATATGTATTGATATCAAAATAAGCCAGATACAAACAGTACAACCAAAGACATTTTTTTAATTTTATACAAACAAAATACGAAGAAACTTTTTCTACGACCTATGTATTATAACAATTTAAAAGAAAAAACGGGCGAACGAGCTTTGCTATGTGATAAAAAAGTATAGGATATACAAGGGTTTTATGTTGTAACAGCTCAGTTTATTTCCATCAATTACAGCATATAAAAGTCTATTGTTAAACATAGGCCTTCCACATAGATTGCCTCATAGGGAGGATCTTGCCATAGTTGCCACGCTTGGCAGGCGGATTGACAACCGCAGTTTTTTATTATTTTGCATTGTTATCAGGAGATGCTGCTGCCCACTTCTTATTTCAGTGTTCCTGTCTGTCGCCTCTTACGGCACTCACGGGATGATTTGGGATATTGGATATTCTTAAACCGCCAGTACAGTTTTTTTAATGCATCATATTCTGCGTACAGTGTGACAGTGAAGTAGCTTATATTTGATTGTGGTATACTAACCGCAACGGTTGGTGACCGTAGAGATGATACCACAATAATAACAAGTAGCATTAACAGTATGTGGAACTTATTTGAATGGAGTAGAGTTTTTGGATAGATCATCAGGCGTCAAACAGCAGATCACTCGTACATTACGAGCAGGTGAAATTGGGCACTTGAAGTAAAAAGTAGAATTCACTTACATGACGTTAAATTTTAAAATTTTAATTTAAAACAAAAATACACAAAAAGTAGTAATCGAAGTCTCGAAGTATATTCGGTATTAAAAAAAAATGTATTCACATTTCAAAAGTCAAAATATGGATCAAGCCTTCGAATTTGCATTGCGCAATACCAAGCGAGCTTGCAGTACAATCTTAACCTAGATCCGACCTCCTGACCTATACGGAGTTTTAAACGTAATGATAACATGTTGAAAATATCAAGAATATAAACGGACTTATCGAGCGAAGCACGAACGTAGAAAATTGCTTATTATAATGTGTGAATAATGCAAAATATTCTTAGGGCCGATTTTTCAATCCTTAAATAAAAGTTATTCATAGTATAAAATACAACATAAAACAATTTACAAAATACAGTTGTATGAACAAAATACTCGTAGTTCAATAGTTTCACTTTTATATTCTGTCAGGTATCTAATAATTTATTTCATGGATAACTTTAAACTGACTGACTAACTTTTAACAGATCCTTAATGTAATTTGTAATTTTACTACGATCAATAGTCACATAGAGCTATGGTAGGTAGCTCAGGGATTAAGCGCTAGTTGTAAATTTCACCTGGTTTCGATTCCCGGCACACCAATGAAATTGTTACCTGCAATTGCAATTTTAAATGCTGATTTACCACATGCTCGAACGTGTTGAGAAAAACATTACGAAAGAATCGGTATGTCTGAGAAATAAGAAAAAAAGAATTTCGAAGACGTGAAGTTCGCCAACACGCATTAGGGCAGCGCGGCGGACATTTTCTTGCCCTAAAACCCTCTCAGAAATGAAAGGAGTCCTGTGCCCAGTAGTGGGACGTATATAGGCTGTAATTTTAACTAACTTTTAACAATAGTCACATTGTGTAAGAAAGTAAGTGGTAGAGCAACGCTGACGGAAGGATCGGCTTCACCGGAGAAGAACCAAGCTTACACAGAATGAAAGATAGCAGCAGCACAACAGCTAACTGTGTTATTATAGTGACGAGAACTGGAGATCCTTATTACTTATTACTGGTAACAACGCATTCCTTGTTTGCCCTCGGAATGTGTTCGCTGTGAGCTATCTGTATTGTAGTTCTTAATCGAGGATAAACGGATGTTAAACTATGTGGGCCATTGGAATATATAAATATAATATACTCACCCTGCTGGATAGGCGACAACTTCAGTATTGGGATCGCAATCTAGAGCCGCGTTGCTGCTGACTGTCAACCCGAGCACGGTCTCCAACTTGATCTGGCAACAATAAAACACACAATTGTAATTTCTAATATACTAATTTGTTAATAATGAGTATGGTAATCGTTTGCTTTATCTTTTTCATTAATCAAACTAAATCTATACAAATAAATAAAATTGAAGTGTCTGTTTGTAATGTCAAAATTACAGCTTTTTACTTAATGCATATGAAAGTATATACGGTACTTATAATAAAAACACAACTTTTAACATTTTTGTCTGTCTGTCTGTCTGTTTATTCCGGCTAATCTCCGAAACGGCTGGACCGATTTCGATGGGACTTTCACTGGCAGATAGCTGATATGATAAGGAGTAACATAGGCTAATTATATTTTAGAAAAAGGAAAAGAATTAGGGTTCCGCGCAACATAGTTAAAACCCTAAATTACACGCGGGCGAAGTCGCGGGGAACAGCTAGTAGATAATATATTTATTAAAGTTCTTTACTAGAAAATTATTCCAAAAGATCTTTATTAAAAATTAAAGTGTGATAAAGTATATGAATGCATTTTGACTAGAAATAGAGACTCGAACAATACACCTGAATAGCAGAGCACATAAATAATCCCGAACATTTATATAGAAGGTGGAACTGCACCGCAGCGCCGCGGTCACGATGAATAATTCATGCTGTTTCATACATAGAGGTTGGTTATTAAAATTTTCAGTATATTCCTAAAACTAACTGACCACTTAGCGTAGTCATGATACTTGTATATACTTATAACTCTCCAAGCATGCTGTGGTAATCTATGCTTATAACCGGGATTTTATTTTTAGAAACTTGTAAAATTATGCTATATTATATTTTATATCTAATGTTTGACGACTCAGTAGCGAGTTGCTGAGTGTTTGGCTGCGGCTATTCTCGCACGTATCAAGTATTTGTATGACCTACCGATAATTGTCCCGGATTTGGGTGCTTGTCCATGTGTAATTTATGTATGTGTATTTCATTTCACGTTCAATTTGTCAGGTAGAAATAGCTTAAAGAGATATGACCATCCTTTGTAGTTTAGTTTATAAGTATTCCGTTATTGTAACCTTTTTAGATTTAAATGCAATGAAGAGTTATCCATATATGTGAAAGTATCCACGGTACAAGTGAAATTTTAAGAATGGGGATAACTTGTTAAAAGAAAGGGGTAAAAATGTATATAAATTAAGTGTAAAATAAAAGTAAAATAATTTTATTAGCCTACATACTTCTCTAATTCCCGAAAGATTTATGGAGTAATTTGTACGCCGCACTGCTTCAGTGTATTTTGGCAGACTTCATATCACACCTCTTAGAAATATTTTTTCTTCAGACATGCAAGTTTCCTCACAATGCATTCTTTCACAACTGCCGTGGTAAATCAGCACTTAAAATTGTAATTTACAATTTCATTGGTGCCGTTGGGGATCGAACCAGGCGTGCTTCAGTGCTGTGAAATTTACAACGGACGATGGGCTGATATGAAACATCCATCCTAATGAGGCAAAACTCAAATCCAAGACAGAGGATAGGGAGTAATATTACCATCAACCCGTACATGCATTATTATCCTCATCATTATCATTTGACACAGTGTTGGGACTACTTTTATCCAACAGTAGATTCCTGACACTGATAAAAACAAAGTTATTATAAATAAGATCACTCATTTAAGATTAAAAAGATAATACCTTTGAGTAAAATGATCTAATAGGTAGGTACTGTCGATCTCTAAATTACAAAATTACATCTGTTGCTTTCCCAGGCATTGACTATAAAGGTAAGCACCACAAAGGTAAATGACTATAAGACAGTAGTAAAGTAACGACTATAACGATCACGATACCTTCTGGTGGTTACATGAGACCGCATCTGAGGCAATTATAGTGATCTCAGATACGTTTCCTTGCTACTATGTGAAAAGATCTATTGCTGAGCTTTTCCTAGTCCTAGTTAATAAATAAAATTTCACAGATTATTATTATTTAATGTATTTATTTTTACGAATGTAACCTTCTTAGTGATTTTATAAATATAATTTTACGTGATATACGTGATATATGCAGCTATATTAGTAGTATAGTTGTAGCACGAATGGGTCGGCTCGACCGGGGAAGGACCACGCTCTCACAGAATACCAGTATAAAATAGCAGCTTAACACTGCAGTGTTTCGTTCGTATACGAGGGCGGCACTGAAAATTTCGGGAATCAAGGAAGTGACACAACATTACTATTTAAAATGTATTTATTGCTTTTCGAAGTATTCTCCGCGAAATTTGACACATTTTTCCATACGATGGAACCAATCATTGAAGCAACCATTCCATTCGGAAGTTGGGGTCTCCAAAATGGCCGTTTTGTAGGCGTCCACAGCTTCTTCAGGTGATGAAAATCTCTGTCCACGCAATTTATTCTTTATTTTAGGGAAAGTATCATTAGGGCTTAGGTCGGGGCTGTACGGCGGATGGTCTAATAATTCTATGTTTTCTTGCTCTAAAAACTCTTTCGTTCTGTGTGCGGTGTGAGAACATTCAAGACATTCGCATTGTCGTGATAGAGGATGATGCGGCGGTTGCAGTTCTCTTTACGGAGTTCAGAAACGACCTGTGGCAAACAAATGCTAGCATACCATTCTGCATTAACCGTTCTTTGTCCCTCAAGAGGAATAGTCGTAACATGGCCGGTTTTGGTGACAAACGTGGCCACCATTTTTTTTGCAACACTCCGTGAACGAACAATTTTTGTTGGCTTTAACTCATTTTCGAACACCCAAACTCGTGACTGGTTTTTGTTTCGGGTTCGTACGCGTATATCCAGGATTCGTCACCTGATACGATGTTGTATACAGCATTTAAGGATCCTGCGTGGAATCTTTCGAGAGTTCTGACGCACCAAACAACGCGAGCCGCTTTTTGCTCTTCACAGAGCGAATGCGGTATCCATCGGGAAAACAACTTTTTTACACCTAATTGTTCATGCAAGATTATTTGTATTTGACTCATGCCAATGTCTAAAGTTGCCTGAATTTCGCGGTATGTCACATGTCGATCTTCCTCAATCAGCTTACGCACAGCATCAACGTTTTCTTGGGTGACTGCAGTTTTTGGACGACCTTGACGGTGATCATCACTGAACTTGACACGTCCACGTTGAAATTCAGCAAACCAGCGATAAATTGTGGTTTTGGATGGGGCTTCATCACCAAATGCAGAAATCATCCGGTCAACACACTGTTTTTTTGTTAAACCACTTCGAAAGTCATAATAAATCATCGCTCTTGAATTTTCTCGAGTCAATTCCATTTTCTCAACGACTAAACAAGTTTGACAAAACCTTGTGACAAGACCGAGAATCTTTTTTTAAATAAATAAATGGTATTCCATTTTAAAAAACCAAGGACTTTTCAATTAAAAAGATTTGAATATGACAGGAACAGTGGAAATATTCCATTCCCGATACTTTTAGTGCAACCTATGTATAGCGAGTAAAGAGAACCGGACACCCTTTTTACTAAAAAAGACGCATTCCATCTTATTCCTCACGGGTGACAACGCATCTGCATTTTGATTCTTTATTGAGGATAGATGTGGATATATGGGTCACAGCAACCACTTACCGTCAGGTGGACTGTGTGCTCGTTTGTCACCCTATCATATATTAAAAAAAATTAAACTTCACCATTTAAGATATGCCTTTTCGCAATGGTGTTAAGAAAACTGAATTGCGTTGTTTTATAAAAATAAAATAACAATGAATAGAATACTGACTGAATACTTAAAAATGCTGATTTCTCTAAGAAAATAAAAAGTTAAAGAAAATTAACGCGATCGGGAAACCTCTGAAAATGCAAGAAACGAAGATAAGGTGTCGTAATGATTTCTTATATTTACGCGAACACTACACATTTTTAAATAAAACTAATTTTACGGATTTTATCGCGTATATTAACTTATTTTTATATTCCCGACGTTTCGGGTGCTTTCCAGCACCCGTGGTCACGGGGGACTGAGTTGTTTGACGTCCTACTGTCATAGTTAGCCCGGCTACCTTCAGTTTTTTAATATTAATTTTTGGTTCGATTTACGCAGAATGAGCTTACAGTATCTTGAAGTCTAGCAGTGGTATACTTGGGTTTGGATTTGATTTTATTAATTATGGGATCCCAAGCAGATGGCAGCACCCATCCATCTTCTCTATTGAAATTAGGATGTTTTTTAATTTCAATAGCCTCGCGAATCATCCTTGGGAGGAATCGGTGTTCTTTTGCAAGGATTTTTGGTCTATCAAATCTAATGTAATGACGGGGACGATCCTGAACATGTTCACAAACTGCAGACTTCCCGATACGTCGGTGCTTCACGTCAGCTATATGTTCTTTAACGCGGGTTTTAATAGATCTTTTTGTTTGTCCTATGTACGAGAGACCACATTCACAATCCAGCTTGTACACTCCTGCATCTTGTAGAGGGATATGACACTTGACGGATGGTAAAAATTGACCAATCTTCTTCAGCGGCTTGAAGTATGTTTTAATGGAAGCTCGCTTCAAGATGTAGCCAACCTTGTCTGTGACTCCTCTGACATAGGGTAGTACAGCAGGCACACGCTCGACTGTGGCTGGCTTCACTCGGTCACTGTGACGTAGGCGCGGGACCCGAAGCTTGTTGTCTTGCAGTACTTGCTCGACGTGCTGAAGCTCGGCGGCCAGATGTTTTCTGTCACAGATCCCTCGTGCTCTCTGAAACAAAGATTTTCCCACGGTAGCTAACTGTGAAGGATGATGGTGAGATTCACCATTTAAATATCGGTTGGTATGGGTATTTTTTCTGTACACAGTATGACCAATAGTGTTATCAGGATTTCTGATGACTAAAACATCTAGAAAAGCTAAAGTATTGTTTGCCTCTAACTCCATTGTGAATTGTATTTTAGGGTTTATGGAATTAAGGTGGTTTAAAAATGCAGTTACTTTGTCAGATGGTAAAATTGTGAAAGTATCGTCTACGTACCGCTTGTAGA